GCATTAAGTGGCTTGTATTTCTGGGCGAGGACGGGACATTAAATCGAGTATCTGTTTCCAGTTCTTGCGATTTTTCTGTTGAAGGCCTTGAATTAATACTAACAGGAGCAAATCCTTCAATTGATTCGGGAAACAAAGCTTGTGGAGGCAAGAACGAAACTTCTTCATCGATTAAGGTGGAGCTTATTGGGTTGTAGTCCGGGTGCAAAGAATAGTTGTATACAGCAGCAACGTCTGGTTTTGCCGAGGGAGGAACTGAGAGAGGTTCTGTTGCCGGCATCACAAGAGGCGACGCCGGGAGAGCGGATGTTAACATGGCTAGACGGTGATCGACGATGGGTAGGGGGTGAGAGGTAGAGAGAGAAACCTAGAGAGAAGGGAGAGCATTTTGCTAGGTTGTATTCTAAATCTTTCTGCAGTTGCTATGTTAGTTGTCTGATGCTGCTAGGTTAGTTGTCTGATTGTGCTAGGTTAGTTGTCTAATTGTGCAAGGTTAGTGTCCGCATTTTAAGAGCTGACCTCATTTTAAGAGTTGGCCTCATTTGATCCGCCCCCTATATATATATAATATAAACAACCATCTTTAGAAAAGTCAAACTTTTGCATATCAACCATTCCTAGACAGATATCCATCAGAATAATGAAAGACCAAAACCAACCACAAAAAATTTCAAACCATAAGTACTTATTTCAAGATTTCTAAACACAGTCAAACTAACAAGAGATATAGTTGATCAATGGCCTCTACAAGAAAGTGCCCCAAATGTTCTTGTGGAGGAACAATAGATAATAACATCTAAAATGCGCAGTCAAAGCCCGGTTCGGAGTGGAAAAACATACTGTGGCAACATACGACAACTTCTCGTGCGCGGCCTGTAAAATTTAGGCTTAAGGACACCAACATACGGAAAATTCTCGGGCGCCTTATCGGTCTCTAATCCATAGCCCACAAGAAGATCATCAGAACAGTACTGCCATCATACACGTAAACACCTTATTCATAGTGCCGACAAAAATTTAGCTATAACAAAGTCACAAAAGTCAGATTCAATATAACTATAATATGATAACATATAATAGCACTTATATAGGCTCTCCTAGCGAGTGCTTGAGTCGAAGTTCGGCTAAAGCCCGGCCACTAATTCCTTGCATCCACAAAACATGAAATTTGTTGAGCTTGAGCTTGAGCTTGAGAGAAATCTTACATCAACTTAAAAAGACAATATTTTTCTATCATATTTTGTACTTGTATCAACCATAATATGTGATGGAGATAAGGATGTTTAGAATCTTTAATTATTATTATTATTATTATTATTATTATTATTATTATTATTATTATTATTATTATTATTATTATTATTATTATTATTTTTATGCAACCTGTACTAATCGCGTTTTGTGGATTTGCAACCTAAACAAAAATTTGTACTATATTGCAACCTTTAATACACGGGTTTGCCTGTATCGCAACCTACGGCCGTTTTCCACTCGTTTTCCACCGGAAAAGCGAGCGTGCGAGTCGCACGCTCCATATTCGAGGGTAAAATTGCCATTTTAGATGAGCGACCATCGGACTCCCCCAAATATCACACAAATTGGGAATTCAAATCACAAAATCGATTTTTAGGGTTCTATCTCTCTCTCTGCGAAAAAACAAAAAAGAAAGAACACTCTCTGCAAATTTTCGTACAAACACTTCGCAAATTCAAATTGATTGCAGTGTTGTGATGGTCTGGAAAAAGCGAATCAGTGATGAGAACATACCACCAGGAAGAGTCTGCCCAGATTACGGTTTGTACTTTTGTAACCCTAATTCTTAATTTTTTTTGTTTTTATGTTGATTTTGGTTTAAATTTTGAAACAGTGAACATGTTTTG